TGTCATTTTAAGTGTCCTGCATTCTAACAGAAGACTCTTATTATAAATAAATGGAACTGTCCCTACTTTGGGGGGAAAATTGCTTTCCTTCAACATTTCTTTCACCTGTTAAAAAAAACACACCAGATTTGACCAGCAGGGGGCAGGAGCTTTTTCCCTTACCCTTCAGGGTCCAGGTCAAAATCATGCCAAATTATAGTCATTCCCATGCAAATTGTTAGCCACTTAGCTCCCCAATATTTTTTCACCTGGTCCCTGAAGGGTAAGGGAAAAAAACAACCACCTCTTGCTGGTCAAATCTGTTTTTCTGTCTTTGAACGTGAGAGTAACAGAGCGCTTGCATCCGCAATACTTCTGATCAATAAACAAACATCCACGTGTGTAATTTAGTCCACTTTAGCCCTTGCAGTGCACCATCCAAACCAAAGGAAAGAGATACAATATTATAAAAAAAAGCTGTGGACTTTAGAAAATGAACTAGGTATGAAAACAGCCTGATGTTCTTCAGAGATGTTAGCTAACAAATACTGCTATCTGAGGCTGCAGCTACTGAAGCAGCATCAAAACAAACACTGACACTGTTCATGATCAGATGTTTGTAGAGGAGCCTAAATCAGTACTGAAGTAAAAGTACCTTCCCCAAAACAACTTCAGCAGAAATAAGAAGCAGGTCAAAAATCTACTTCAGTACTAAGTACGGCAGTGGAACTTCTTACTACATCCTGCACTTACCAGCATAGGAACTGAAGATTGTGCAGCTTTGTTCTTCTCTTTTTTGGGATTTTTTCAGAGATGTTGTCACGCATCTCCCCAGCAGGGACTCCAATTCCCAGAGCCCCTTGGATGATCATGTGGCTCTGACTCCACAACACATAACCTATCTGAGATCAGCCTCACCTGACTACTGATTATTCTTACCTGTTCTGTGCATCATGTGAAATGTTTAGCTGGCTTTATAAACCCGGGCTTTAGTTTAGACACATTGTGAGGTATTGCTTCTGTCACAAGAGCTACTGAGCAGTTTCATTTTGCATTCCGGTTTGTTTTTCTGTTTAATAACCATTTGCCAATTTATTTTGACTCTGCCTTTCTGCCTCATCCCTTGGACTTTGTTATTTAGGTTTGTTTTGGATTTGACCTTGGCCTGTTTTGTGACAATGACTTGGAAACTCCCTCAAACTAGTAAAGTCAATGCAGTACAATTATTGCCACCAGCAAACCGTATTGAAATCAAACACAAAAAATGGAATTAGTAACTAAATCTGAATGGCTAAAATGTAACAGAGTAAAAGATTCCTTTACTCACGTTAGTAAAAGTAATATGATTTGAAAATACTCAGGAGAGTATTTCCATCAATATTTTATGGAAGTACATGTACATCAGTAAATGTAACTAGTTACTACCCAGCTCTGAAAAGGTTCATTAAGACAGCATGACATGAAAGGCAATTTTAGTCAGTGACCTAATTGCAATGCGTCACTCAGCCAGATGCTTTTTTTGTGTTTTGCCCCACCATTTTTGTAGATGTGGCGCCCCCCAGGGTTAACTTTAATCAAATATTCTTCATTGTGTAATTTATTGTAACAACTTCATCATTTTAAATGGACTGTTTTGCACACTAATAACTAAATGGCTTAAATAAGACTAGAATCACTCATTTCAGCATGTCACCATGTTTGGCATTTTGTTGGCATCCATAGTGACAGGCTGAGCTGATAAACCTGAATTCAAAACACCTTCATGCTGAGAATGACAAAAACTTCACATTTAGCATGAGAGTATGCTATGACGCAAAAATGACATCTTGCAAAAAATATGTTTATAAATTAGAAAATAAGAATTAATTAACAGAAACCAACAGAACTGCTAAGAATGCTGGGAAGCCTTTTGGGCACAGATCCAGATTAACTGATCTTAACCAGATTTACTTTAGTAACTAAGGATTATATAAGAAATAGTATGTGCTACCAGAGAACTTGTAGAGATGAGAATTACCACTCTGCAATGTCTTCCGGTCTTCTCAAACGCTAGAGGGCGCTCCCGAGTGAGTCCAAAATGAATGGGTTGATTTGGAGCATTTGAGTAAAATCATAGTTTATAAATGCTTAAACATTTTTAATGTAAAAGAATCCAGCATAAAACATTTTAACACTGCTGTTATATTTTTAAGAGCTTTTAAACTCGAACTATAGCAGTAGTAATGCTAAAAGTAGAAAAAGAGTAGCTAAGCTAATAGCCTCTCACGCATCAGTTCACTTATTCAGATTTGAGTATTTGCTCTCTAAACTTGTGTCAGTGGAGCAATAAAAACTGTGCTGTGGTGTGTGAGGCTATTATATTAGCATGCTAAGCTGCTACCTGCTACTGAGTCTGTAGATTTAGCCAGTACACTAACAATTTAGTGAATAAGCTTTAAGTTGGCTTGAAAAATCCAGCAAATGACATTTCAAAAGTTAAAGAAGTTGTAAACCACTGCTAGGCTATCCCAAGTGGTTGCTAAGGTGTTGCTAGGCCATCACTATGCTATCCCATGGGGTTGCTATGGTTTTATTAGGAAGCTGCTACGGTTTTCTAGATGGATGCTGAAGTGCTGCTACACCATTGGTATGCTATCCCAGGTGGTTGCTAAGGTGCTGCTAGGCCATTGCAATGGTGTCCCAGTTGTTTGTGAAGGTGTTGCTAGGCTGTTGCTATGCTGGTCCAGGTGATTGTTAATGTGCTGCTAGGCCTTTGCAATGGTGCCCCAGTTGGTTGCTATAGTATGGTAGTCAAGGTGGTTACTAAGATGTTGCTCGTCCTTTGCTATGCTTTCCCATGTAATTTAAGTGTAGCTAGGCCACTGCTATCATATCCCAGGTGGTTGCTAGGTGTATGTAAGGAGTTTGTGATGTGTCTAGTGCCTGTGCGTGTGTATTTGTGGAGTATGTGTAATATGTGTGATGTATGTGCAGTGTCTGATATGCAGAGTGAGAAAGTCTCAGGATGTGTGGGGTGTGATTGTATATTGTTTGGAATGTATAATATGTGCTTGGAGTTTGCTGTGTGTGGAGAGTGTGATGTGTTAGGAATGTGCAATGTGTGTGGAGTTATCCCAGCACTGATTGGGCTAAAGGCCGGAAACACCCTGGACAGGTTTTATTATACATGACTATGTTTAAATGTTGATCCTTTCTAGTATATTTTTGTTAAGACCCACTTTTAATTTTGGTACAGTACCCAAAACTTTAACTTTTTACCCCACATATAAAAGCAGGAAGCTCAGTTCTGTACAGCTTCAGCCCTTATCTGAGCAGATGAGGTACTGAGTAATCTAGGCCAGAGGTTTTCAAACTGTGGGTTGCAACCCACTGGGGGGGCGAGTGGTTTGCAAAGAAGCTGCATTAATATCCTTTCTTCTACAAAAGCAGAGCTAAATGAAGCACAGTGGGAATCGCTGTGTTATCAGTGGTATCAGCGCACGCAGCAAGCATGTTACAGTCATCACAAATCACAAACTGCAGTAATGATTTCCATGCCGAATATCAAACTAACCATGACAGAACAATACTAGAATACTAACAGAAATATGGAGGTGGGTGTTGGAAAACCTGTAGAATTTGACAAAAATGGTGCCCTAATGCTTCAATATTCTAAGTGAAAAGTTAACACATCCTCTACAGTGAACATAGCTAAATATTTACAATGACAATTTACAGAGTTTAACATATTGCATATGTTATATTCAGAAAACAATCTGTGTTTGTGTATTAAATGTCCAGAAGTGTGTTCTCTGTAGAGGATGTGTTACTTACAAAATGACCAGGGATACCAAAACTTTTGCAGACATCAGCTTGTATTAAAGCATTTTGTGATGTCAAATGCCTGCGATGCAGTCAGTTAAGCAGCAAGCCAAAGCTTTACAAAATGCACATTGTTCCCCTAGATTTTGTGTTTGCCAGCTTTTTAAACATCATTATGTGAAATGGGGTGGCTGCACTGGTCAACTGGTCACAGGGCAGTGTAATCCAAACACATAAGTGAGGATGGTTTGGACTGTTACTGCGATGACGTTGTGAAGCACACCAGACTTTTGTGCAACTAAATATATTTTGAGAATGTAAATACTCATTAGATTTACATCTACAGCTGTGAGACTGTTGAAGGCATATGGGTAAAGCTTGAGACTTGACAGGCTTTGGAGCACAGAAGGGCCTTTAAAATGACTAATATCATGTGCAAAAGAACAAAATGGCACATAATAGACATCCAAAAGTGCTCTTTTCGTATGGTACAATGGTATAAGATGACCATGGCTGACAGAGTGGCATTAAAAAATCTAATCTGGTGATTTAAGTTAGTTACTCTTTCTGCCTTAAAATTTTGAGTTAACTGATCTTCAAATAATAATCTGACAGATCGTAAGACACAGATTCTTGCTCTGTTAAGTGTAAAGTTATTATTGTAAGTTCAATTAATTCTAAACTTTAAGGCAGTCCCATAACTAACATTTTTTTTTTTGTTGTTCTTTTAACAATGTACAACCTAAGAACGAATGAAGAATTGTTGACTGGTGGTCTGGATGATAAAACTGACTACATCAGTTTTCAATTCTGAGTAAGAGGTTAGGATTTCAGTATTTTGATGAGATTGTAAATTAGAATTTGTCGATTGTCATTAACCCAACAAGAAAATTAATAATTAATCATTAATTCATGAATAAAATGAGTTGTCTTGTGCTATTCCTGTCTGTTTTGGTAACTTCAGCTTTTTTGAGATTTGAACGATGCACTCTCTAAAATCTGAAAACGGAAAAAAAACAAACATTTTATAGAGCCTAACTGACCCACAGTTTAGGGGTCAGATCCATCAGCTTGCTGACATCAGACATGCTGTCTGTTACAGATATTATCTCTGTGAAAACAAACCACTATGTGGTAAACAGGAAAAGGCAGGGTTTTTGAGGAAGAGCACTTGCTGCCTGATGATAGGGACCATTTGTGGTGAACTTATCTCACCCACTGTGCTAAATAAAATCTTCACCCTCACTGAGGTAATTCTCACTACAGAACCATGGCTCTCATCTCTCTGCTCCTTCTGGCTGCTCTGCTGCCACAGCTGGGCCACTCTGGTAAGTGTCACCTACGCATAGCTTCTCCTGTCTATTATAGCAGGTGAGCACAACCCTGGCTCTGATGTTCTGTTTAAGATAAGATAATCCTTTATTAATCCCACAACGGGGAAATTTGTGGTGTTACAGCAGCACAGAAGACAGAGCAGCAGGAAATATACAAACAATATTTAAATAGAATAAACAATAAAAGTATAAAGATATATGTGTATATGTACAAAGATTATAAGAAAAATATACAAAGTATTAAATTTAAATTTAGAAATGTAGAAATGTATGTATTGTAGTGAGTATTGCACAATGATTAAAATAGCAAATAAATAAACAGTAAATAAATGGAGAAATATTGCACTTGACATAATTGCACATAATGGTGGTAAACATGTTGACAATGACCCGCAGTGAATATACTACGCATGGTGGATTGAGATATTGCACACAGTAAAGTGCTATGGCAGTGATGTTGAGAGTTCTTGCACATGGAAAGTAATTGTAAACTACTGTCTACTGAGTGCCGTGACTGTTATAGAGTCTGACAGCGGCTGGGATTCAAATCTAACATGGTCAATGAAGGTATCTCATTAGATCTCTGGTTTTGGTTTTAACTTTGACCACTAAAGGGTGTTTCTGCAGCTACAGGCAATTTCAAGTTCCAGGGATGGCTTTATAATTGAATTCACCGATTTCCATTTTTTACATTTTATTAAATGAAGTTTCTAATATGCAAAGGAAATATATTTCCATATATATTTCATCTATATCTAAGCCTATATTTCAATATATACACATATTTGTGCATATATTGGCATATATTGAAACATTCATCATATTGCACATATACACCAAACGCGTCATTAGGTACCACAGTGAATTGTGGTGATACAGACAGAAACCTCTTTTAGGCTTTATTTTAAGACACATTTCAATCTGGCTGTAAATAAAACACAAATCTAAAAAGGCACCCACTTTTTTTGTTCTAAGATGCAGAGGAAGTACATTTCAATGGACAATTACTGTTTATTTCCTCAATTAAACATAATGGGTTAAAATGTGGCCTGTGCAAAGTTATAAAGATATGGCAGATTTTGTATTTTACGTTTTTATTTTTTCCAATATGCGAAACTCAGCAAATAAATAGAAACTGTGTACTGAAGTGCCATTTTTAAGTTTGTTCCCTTCACTTAAAAAAATCAACAAAACATACAATATGATCAGGAGTGTTCAAACTTTTACATATATGTATGAGTTACTGTTTTCTTATTCTCCAGCTCATGTTGTATATTTAAAAAAATTCAGATGTCCAGTTATTTGATTTAAAATGTACATTTCACAATATATCACAAAAAGTGATGCAAGTGTGTTCACTTTCAAATCTTGTTAGTTGTCGATATAATTAAACAACTGAGACTTCGAAATGTGTGATTTGAGAGGTTTTTTTCCATTTAGGACTCAAAAATGCCCCAAGTGCAAAGAAGTTTTCTTTACTGCTTTAATCACTTTATTGTCATAAAGAGATGGAGAACACAGTCTGCACAGAATGCACCCAGAATGCTGACGTTTAGTTTCACCAGATCTGAGTTTGAGGAATGATGCCATTTTGACTCAGAGGTCTAAGGATGTCCTAAAATGTACCCCGTAGCCCTGCCTAGTGCTAATTAACATTTATTTGCATGTTGGTCAGTTTGAAAACGAAATCGAAAAGTGGAAAATGAAAAGTAAATGTCCAGCAGGTGGCGCTGATGTTCGTTTGCATTTGCCTTTCATTTTGACACTTAAAGCACGTCCACACCGAAAACTAAATCACAAACTGTCACTTTGCTGTTGATTTATCCGTTTTGCATTTTCATTTTCATTTTGTCAGATCTGCAGCCGATTGCTGTGAAAAAGAAATGAGAATGTGAGCACTGCATTTTGATTTTAGTTTTGACACGTATTCTGCATTTCATGAAGAAAAGCCAAAGCCAAAGTGAAGCTTGGATTTTCTTTTCTCTATTAGCTTTTTCATTTTAGATTTGGCCATGAAAAACCAGAATAACGACTAAAATGAAATGACAAATAGCTGTTTTGCATTTATTTTTATTTTTGTCACAAATGGCTCGTGCTCATGTGAAAAATGAAATTGCAAATGTAGACATTTCATTTCATTTTCAATTTTGGCAGGATATTTGCGCAGATGTTTGGAAAAAGAAATGGCAAAAAGAGGTTTGCATTTTCATTTTATGGTTTTAATTTTAATTTCTTTTTTGGCTGGATTTGCCTCCCATACCAAGGTTCCTGTCTCCTCTCAAAATGCATTGTTCTACACCGTTTTACCAATCAAATTGGCCCAGCCACTTCTGACGTCAGCACCTTACATATGGGCCTCTTGGCACTTCCTTAAAAAACAACTGGGCCCTTCTATGGGCCCCATTTTCCTCTTAGTCTATCTATTTCATTTATCATCGTTTTTGAGCCCACTTGATAATCTATCACCACGGATATGTGTACATTTCAGGAGGCCTTCAAGGAGACGTCTGGTGCTCTACCCAGTACGTAAACATTCACAGTTCACCAAGTTCACACGCAGTGGAGCACACAACATCCACCCCAAAAGGTACCCTGAGGCACAGTGGATACATACACTACATCTATAACATTAATGTTTGCATAACTGTAGATATAATCAGCTTGGAATTACTTTCTTGTTCCCAGCCAGTGTTAAGGTTGGTGTACTGAATCATGTAGAGGCTGAACCTCACTCCAGACCCTACATGGTGTCTCTCCAAGCAGGGACTCAGCACTTCTGTGGTGGCTTCCTTGTGAGTGAACAATTCGTCATGACGGCTGCATATTGCCAAACTGAGTAGGTTTTTCATTTTGTTCTTTATCTTGCTGCCGTCTTTAGTTGGTTCTTTGTTGCATTGTGAATGGCTACACGAAACATTCTGAAATGAGAAATGATTTGTCTTTGATTAGTGAGTAATGAAGCAGGGCTACAGGTCATCCAGCACTAGAAATAATACTGCGTAGAAATAACTTCTACATTTTTACCATTACTGTCACAGTGTCTAATGTCTATCGAGAGAATAAAAGAAATGCATGCTATGCTTTAGGCCGACAGTCATTTAAGAGAAATTCCACAGATCTTTCCCATTTTGTGCAGAATTAAATATAACACACACACACACACACACACACACACACACATATATATATATATATATGTATACACACACACACTATATACACATCATTTGTATATAAAAAGGATTTTACATAAATGAATATAACTACTTCACCTCAAGTCCCCTGTATAGATTATTAAATGAAAAAAGCTGAATATAAATCCAGAGCAAAAACAATTACACCAAGTTATCCTCGCTTCACCAACCAACCACACGGCCATATCTACACATGAACATCACACAAACATGAGTGCTGATCGCTGTGTTTTCTCCGTTATGTAACCCTATTCCACTTTCTGGGTGCAATAGTCTTGAAATACTATCATTTTGGACAGTACCTTTCTTAAACCGCCGCTCTGTAATGGCACTGAACGCAGTTGGGCAGTGATGTTGACCCCCCCAAAACGGTAGGACCGTTAACGTGCCTGGCTGGACCCATAGCAGCATCTATGTGTGTATATCTATTGTTCGGGGATGAGAGGCCGTGGACCAATGTGAGCCATATGGAGTGGGGTAATGCAATCTTTCAAAACTTAAAAACTAATATTTTGGCGTCTATAATCAGCACAAGTTCTTTAGAATTATATAGTTATGTTTACAATGATATATTGAGGGGGCAGCTCTCTGTTGTTCCCAGGCCTGTAATTGCTGCCTGTGGACGAGCACAGGCAGGGCAAAATTATCCCGAAATAAAACTTGCCTTTTCAGTTTTAGCGGTATTTCATCAATATCAACATTACATATAAAAACTCAGAAGACCCACTCCCTGGAGATTCTGGATAGTAAATAAAATGGTTCTAGTTGCGTTGTAGACAATATGACCCCTGGTTCCTATCACCACCACTGTAAAGAAATTTGAGTTGGTAAATTTCTCTATAAAACATCATTTTATATCAAACCACTCTGAATGACTGTTCGCATCTCAATCATCAAACTGTAAAAAATGTCTGAAGACGGTGGAATTCCCCTTCAAGTAGTAGTGCATTTTAACTTTTATTTAACTTAATTTTCAGGCAATAATCTCCATAACTCAGTAAATTATTCAGTAATTTAATTAGTAAGGGTTTAAGGGGTTCTGTACAGACAGGCTTATGTTTGATATTGTAACGGTTATTGCAATTTAATCTGATTATAAATATGATTATTATTGCTTAAACTAAAGAGGAGGTCAGGGTAACCTGGATTTTGCTTAAAGTCTACAGACCAATGCAGGGAAGAGACAGACACTCGTGCCAAGGATGCTTCAATCAAAAGTAACTTTATTGGCTAAATATGACACTACAGTTGGATAACTTGGTTAATAAACAAAGAAAAGAAATAAAAAAACAAGGGAATGGCTCAGGTAATGTAACTTATTTCACAGTGTAAAATGGCATGCAAAGGTGGCTGAGGGCGCTCCTTGGGAAAGCAAATCGGGCCTTAAGGACAAAGGATCTATAGGGCAACTTAACCTAAACTAGCATATATCTAAAAGAGAATTCTTATCGAATAAAATAGCGTCGAACCTTGACTGCACAAATGAAAGATAGCCAGCCTTACTTTGAAGTCGGGAGACAGGACTGCAGGTCCTCTGAGACGGGTCGCGTGAGGATCGGCCGGAGCTCGCACGTTTCTTCGCTGGCCCTGGAGCCTTGGTGGGACTTCGCACAGGCGACGCGCTGCAGTTGATGACCAACTCCGGCGTCTCGCCTGCCCGAGGATGAAGCTTGGAACCAGGGCAGTCTTCTGGCGAAGATTCAGTTCGCCGGTCGAGGCGCGGCTCTGGCTGGGCTTCAGAATCTCTAGGCTTCTTCTTAGGGCTGTTTGAGGATGGAGCTTGGGACCAGGGCAGTCTTCTGGCAAGGATTCGATTTGCCAGTCGAGGCGCGGCTCTGGCTAGGCTTCAGAATCTCTGGGCTTCTTCTTAGGGCTGGGGAGTGCAGTCAAATTTCGAGGCTGATAACCTGAATCACTACCTATCTTCGTCAGAGCTAAAACTTGAAGAAATTCCTTACTTGGCCATGTAAAGAAATCTTCACTTTATTCTCTAGGGTTGGGTTAAACTTAAAGGTATACACAAAAGACAAATCCAGATCTGATCTAAGCGTTCTAAACTTCCAAACTTTCTTTGTAACCGCGGTTGGCACAGACTTGTGGAAGTTTCTCCTTGTTCTCTGGAACGCGAGCTCGAACTGACTGGAACTGGCGTGCGCGCCTGTTTTACCCGGCTGTTGGCCCCTCCCTTCGGGGTGGAGCAAAGGTGGTGCTAGGTTCTCTTACCTAGCGGGTAATTAGCTATTCCTAGTTCTCGATTCTGATTGGGGGTGGTTTCTCTGTGAGCGCCTTCCCAGGGAACTCCCTTCTTTGTTCCCTCTAGATTTGAATCTAGAATAATCTAAAGTTAGAATAAATCAAAACAGTTTCGGATCATTGAATTAAGTTCCAAAATCCACACAGACAATTAACATTTGTGCATCAACCTACAGTTTTATCCACATTACCTGAAAACAACTATTGTGAAGGCAGGAATAGTCTTACAGGTAACCCTTTGGATGTCTTTTCGGGGCAGGAGATTTAACACAGTAAAATCATCACTTCAAAGAATAAAAGCAAGTAAACAAGAATAGTAAAATAAAAGGCTAGATATAATAAGTGAAAAGAAAACCTAGGTGCATGCTTAGTGTTCTAAAACCACTACTTTAAATGGTTATTTCAGTAACTTTCAGACAGTTATCCTACATATTCCTAACGTCTGGTAAAAGAAAGGAGAATACACACTTTAAGTAACTGGGTGCACAAATACAAGCATCATCTCTTGCAAATTAGATAGGATTGATAGTCAAACGTGCATATCGATGAATGTTTCTGGGGTCCTTTGTGAGCAACAGTCCTTACAGTGGTGATGTGATAATTCTTGTTTTCACACCTTGGGGTGCTGTGGGTCCATGTTTGAGGTCCTCAGGGGATTTAGAAAGTTTAAAATTTTCAGTTCCGATTGTCGTAGCAGGTCCGTTTTTGGTATGTCTAGTTTAGTTAAAATGAGTCCTAACGAATGGTTGCAGTTTGGAGCAGATATATACCTTAGAAATTTACTTTCTGTTACTTAAAGATAAAGTTGTCCACAGGACTTTGGAGAGCCATATACCACATTCCAGAGGGGGGTGTCCTGTTGCCCCCTGGGTCAAGGGAGAGGGGTGCTGGTTCTTGATTCAGCTGTAAATTTGACTGAGTCTGGGGTTGGGGGTGTTAAGTCGAAAGATTTACACCTTCAACTCGAGACTCGCTGGAACCAAAAGGCCCCTAACTTTTGGGTAAACACTTGAAGTGAAGTTTCAGCCAGTGTTCGCTACAATATCATGTGATTTTTAAAAATGTAATACAATGATTATCACACATTGTTATTAATAATACATTTTTGTATTTAAATATCTCAACTCAACACAGTTTAAATATTTAATTATTTCAATAGGCACATTTAATACACAACAATAAGGTGTTACCTGTTGATTCCTCTTATCAGGGAAAATAGAGAGGAAAATATAACAGCAGTAATAGGAGCTCATGATCTGACGAGCAATGACCCTGAGCGCATACAAGTGACGGAGTACTACAGCCACCCAAACTTTACAAATCACCAGAAACACCCAGAAAATAACATCATGCTGCTGAAGGTAAACGATCACTCCAAGCTATTTTTGTTGGATTTATTCATCTGTGCAAGGAAAAATTGGTAAAACATGGTTTAAGGTAAATGCAGTAATTACTCAAACAAAGCTTTTGCTGTGTTATTTAAATGGCCTAAAGCAGAACCCGAACCTTCTAATTTAACCCTTAAATAGCTATGAAATACCTTTCATAAGTTGGATTAGGTGTTTTGAGATAGGTACTTAAATTAGGGCTGTATATTTCCAATTAAAGCTTGTAACAGGCATTTAGGTAGCAGTTTCTTATTTTGTTTGTTGGATTTTTACAGTCTCTCTCAACAACACAGCAATCCTAAACAGAATATGTTCAAAATAAGAGTGCTTCAATTTGATTGGCTACTAAACTCAAATAATTATGAAGTTCAGAACATTTTACTATTATTATCCTGAAATCAGATTGTTGCAGCACCCTCAGTACCCCCATGTCCCACATTCCTGGTCTCTTTGTGATCTGGTTATGTGTGGTAGCACTATCCATACACTTTACCCATATGGAAAAAAATATACCAAATGTATTTATCAAATATATTTTTGCAGAACACAATCCCACAAAAAAATAGCCCCTGAGCCACTTCAACTGTAATTTTCCCCGGTAAGAAGCCCACATGTATTAAATGATATTTTCTACAATGTTTTCAAAAATTGAAATTGGTAACAAATGGCGCATACTCACACTCAGCTGATTTACCAATATGTTTAAAAGACACATTTTGATCAGTTTGGATGAAGCAGCACGACAAACCTTCTAACTGCTGAACAGAGGAGAAACAAGACTTCCTTGAGCAGAATTTCAGATTGGCGGATTTAACTGACACTGTATTTAGAACAGCCCTTTCTTCCTGCATCTAATTCCATATTTAGGGAATCCCCCTCCTGTGTGTGGAAAGTGGGTTTGGAAGTTGGAATCCAAATAAGTGAAGACTAATTTCACATTTTGAGATTATAATTACGTGTTTAAATTAATAATATTACAAGCCATTTTAGCTTTCAATAATATTGTAGCGTCTGCATAAAGTGAGACACTGGGGAGCCCATGACTCTGCTTTGAATAGTGCTTTTTAATTGAAACGCAAGCAGAAAGGCACACAATACAGACAGGGAGAGCAGGCAAGCATGCAAACCCACTCTAACTAACCCCACCGCCCAGCACAAAAATCACAACTTTAACGGACGAACAACATAACATTAAGAAGTCCTTTTTTCGGAAAGCACGTGCCTTCCATGAGCCTCCTCATGTGGCTTTTCACATGGCCACACCTCCCAAACCTTGTACCGCCACACAGGCAGTAGTGGGATGCTACAACAATTGATTTTATAAAACAATATAACAATACAATGCTTTACATATGTGAAACTGACAGTATTGCTAGCAAAAAGGTAAAAAAAAAACATTTAAACATTTAAATACATATACAATTAAAGTAATCCCATTTCCAAAAAAGTTGGGACGCTGTGCAGAACGTAAATAAAAATAGAATGCAATGATTTGCAAATCAAGTAAACCATATTTTTACAGGAAAATACTACCAAGACAACATATCAAATGCTGTGGTTTGGAAAGTGAAATGTTTTCCTGTTCTTGTTTGATACAGGATTTCAGCTGCTCAACAGTTCGGGGGCTCATTTGTCATATTTCTCATTTCTTAATGCGCCAAATGTTATCAGTGGTGACAGGTCTGGACTGCAGGCAGGTCATTTTAGCTCCTGGACTCTTTTAATACGGAGCAATGATGTTGTTATACATTTAGAATGTAGTTTGCCATTGTCTTGCTGAAATAATCAAGGTCTTCCCTGAAAAAGATGCAGTCTGGATGGCAGCATATGTTGCCAAAACATGTATATATCATTCAGCATTAAAGATGCCTTCACAGATGTGCCAGTCACCCATGCCATGTGCACTAAAGCTCCCCTATACCACCTATTCCACTTCTCCTCAGTCCATTCTAAATGAGCTTGGGCCCAGAGAAGGTGGCAGCGTTTCTGGATGCAGTTTATATATGATTTCTTCTTGGCATTTTAGAGTTTTAACTTGCATTTCTGGATGCAGTGACAAACTGTTTTCACAAACAGTGGTTTTCAGAAGTGTTTCTGAGCCCATGAAGTGATTTCCACTACATAATCGGGCTGGGTTTTAATGCAGTGCCACCTGAGGGCCCAAAGATCATGGCCAGCAAATACTGGTTTTTGGCCCTCTCCCTTGCATACAGAGATTTCTCCAGATTCTCTGAATCTTTTAATGATACTATGTACCGTAGATGATGAAAAGCAAAAGTTCTTTGCTGTTTTATATTGAAAAACGTTGTATTGTTTGCATTGTTGTGCAGTCTTTCACAGAGTGGGAACTCCTCCTCATCTTTACTTCTGAAAGACTCAGCCTCTCTGGGATGCTCTTTTTTATACACAATCATGTTACTGGCCTGTGTCCAATCAACCAACATGTTTTTTTTTTTAGCATTACACAACTTTACCAGCCTTTTGTTACCCCCGTCCCAACTTTTTTGGAATGTGTTGTTGGCATCAAAATCAAAATATTTTTCAATAAACAATATCATTTCTCAGTTTCAACATTTGATATGTTGTATTTGTATGATTTTCAATGAAATACAGGGTTTAAATGATTTGCACATCATTGCATTTTTTTTTCATTTTGCACAGCGCCCAACTTTTTTGGAAATGGGGTTGTAATACTATCAAAATTTAATTTAAATAGAATTCCTGAGACCAAGAAAAATCTTGCAAATTTTTTCCATGGCATAGTGTGGTTAACGGCAAGTTTTATGAAAATGGCCTAATGTCTCAGCGCTCAAGCATTGAACCCTTTCAAAACCAAATTAAGCTCCAGGGCACAAAATTTTAATATTAGAATCAGCAATATTCCAGTATTAATATTTATAGTAATTTTAGTAGTTACTGCAAAAAATCCACAGCATGAATTTACATTCGCATTTAAGCCCGGCTCAACGATACATCAGAGTGCAATGGAGAAAATACCTGAGTGCCTGAAATCTCTGTAACAAGGCAAATTTAGTCGACTATGAAACAATCATTTTGACTCATAAAAGTAAGTACATCAGCTCACTCACAAGAAATCACTCATTTGAACCCAAGCCTGATGTTGTAGGTGAAAAAATGTTTACCTGATATTTCAAGCAGACCTCTAACAGCGTTTATCAGAACACCACACTGATGGAATGCTTTGTTTGTATGATCTTTGTTTCTTGTTGGCCTTTAGGCAAGAAGCGTTTTACTGAATTACTATTCAGCTTCTAAAATATCTAAAAACTGTAGTTAAAATGTTTCTGTGGAAGATCTCTGTTTTTTGGTATTTGTGGAGAAGGGGGCGTTGCCGAGTGTCGAATGCAGGGCGGAGAAGCTGGTCTGAACCAGCGGGCTAAGTAGCTGATGATGTACACCTGTGCCTTGTTTCTGCCAGCCTACTAGCCTATAGTCATCTCTTCCTTCAGTAGGTGGCAGAGCCCAGAGAGAGAAGGAGACCTCTGAAGGTGTGAGAGGAGAGCTGAGCTGAGCTGAGCTAGAAAGAAAGAAAAGAAAGGACTGAAAAGTCCCAGCGAGCGTCTTGTGTTACTTTGTGGGCTGAAAAGCCGAGTGTTTTTGTGTTGTGTATAATTAATAACAAAAGAAAGAAATGAATCTGTCTTCACACCTGCCCCCGGCGTCTTTCCTCCATCCATCGTTAAAGTTGTTACAGTATTGTTTTAACACTTTCTGCCCCAGTGGTTTCTTTTCTTTTTTTAAGAAGACCCAATAACCATTGCTGAATCGCTGCACACTTCATTGCTGTGTAAATCCTTATTTTAACTAAAAAAGTAGTAACTACATATTTTACAAATTAATCAGAAATTCTGGGGGGGGGATTGCAAAACAACTGCTTAAAGCTTTTATTTTTTTAATATTTTCGATGGTTAAGTTTTACTTTGGTGTGGCTGGCGATATTTTTCAGGACGATTCTGGGACAGTTCTGAAAAAAGATCTGGAGCCCTGTAGCGTAACAACCTGATCAAACCATGTGCTGCTCTTTATTGATCATATTCAGTTCTGTTTACTGCATTTGCTAATAATATTGATGATTTTGTTACAGTTAGCCAAGCCAGTTGTAAATGCTTCCTGGATTTCCATCCCAGAAAAAGACGAAGACTTGGAGCAAAACACCACTTGCAGTATAGCTGGTTGGAGACCTGTAAGTGATGTTTTTTTCGAGGCAAAAGTCACCATGTTAAGCAGCAAGGAATGCAAACGTTGGTGGAAATTCAACAATATACTGTGTACAGATGCTCGCCATCATGGATTTTGCGTGGTAAAGTTTTTCTTAAGATTCTTAACCTGTTTTTTGATAAATAAGGCAAAGCTTTTTGCACAGAAGATTTTGCTTGTGAAATGTGTCAAATGTATTTTTACATTCAGTGTTCAGTGTTTTACATTTAGTGTTTGTAGTTTTTAGCGGTAGCTTTATAAAGGTCAGCTCAGCAGTGTGCTAAGATTGTACGTGTTTGTTGCAGGGAGACGGTGGAGGTCCTTTGGTGTGTAATAATACTGCAGTCGGAATCATGTCCTACTATGAAAAGAACTGTGTAACTTCCAAAGCACCACAGGGCTACATCAAGATTTCTGGATTCCTGACCTGGATCAGAGGAATAATTAGTAGTATTAAATAATTAGCATTCTGAATGGTTCACTGGGGCTGGCTTGACCATAAAATTGTGGTTCATGATTCATAACAAATAATTTGACAGTAAAGAAGCTTCTGACTGTCTATACAGGTTTTATATCACCTTCTTATGTTATTTTCTTGAGAGTAAATAAAAGGTTGAAAACTAAGTATGGAAAGAAAACTCTTGATCTTTACTGATAAGTAACACAGCATCATCCACCACCTACCTCTGTTACATCTTATGTGTTTTAATAAAATGAGTACATTACATTAGTAAATTTGTTCTTTCATTAAAAATAAAGCACCTGATTTGCATTAAAATCAGTTGTGAATGCAGATCTGTGGTTGCTTATTTTATGTATGAACTAGTAATACTGTTAATGTTATTGGCTCTCTGACATGCTGTAAGACAGAAATGCTGCATACCTGCTTATGCATTATACATGTCATGCTACAGCCAGCGACACATAACTACCTGCCTGGTGGGGGTACAATCGAACTGGGCCCCTAAAATCTTTATTGGTTCCTTCATACAGATACTGACACACATGTCCACCCTTGACTCACAATTTCTCAACAACATCTCACCAGTTAGCTCCCACCATCACTGCACAGACAGCCCTGATGTCAACTTATTATCCTCTTATTCATAATGCATCTCAGCCATGATTAGAACTAAAATCAAAATGATAAGGGATAATATTGAATATAGAACATCATCTACTGTCCCTCCTATGTGTGACTGTGTTCTATTATAGTAATCAAGATTTACTACACTGTGTTCAAATGTCCAGATCACTGGACATTATAATTTATCTCAAACTTTGTTTATGTACAAATAAATATGTACTATTTTCTTTTTTGTCTTTCACAAGAGGGACATTTCAAAATGATATATTTATACGAAAGACATTTCTGACATAAATACAGTATCATTCAGAAACAGTTTCATTTGTTTTATTATGTTTATTTCATTAAAATTACTAACTGAACATTCCAATTTATCACTACCAAAACAATCATAACAGAACCAAAACTTTCTGTTTCGGTACAATTTAAAATCATTTTGAGTAGAACTCAAACATGCTAGCCAGCACATGACTAGCAAACACAGCTTTCAACAGCTGTACACACATACAGTCACAATATTTTTCATAAAACACAAAAAAGTTTACTAGGCAGACAGTATGTGTTTCAGTAGTGACAATGCTTAAATGTTCCACACTGATTTTTTCAGACTTCAAGACACATTTCAAAACAATGGGATCTCACTGCTCACCATGTGGCCATGAGGGACAGGGATACAGTCTCACTTCCAGCTCTAAAATGCAGGAGTGTTGCTAAAATAAGGCTCTGCCTACAGACTAAGCTGTTTCATTTAAAAATTCAACTCATGATAAATCTAAATCCTTCAACTTCACTTTAAAATAAATCTAAAAGATATTTTTTTTAAAAAAACAACATTAAACAAAATGCAAAAATTAAAGTTTTTTTTCACAAGCTGAAATGTAGGGGTTTGGGTTTGTGACAGACACCTCCCAATAGAAAGAACTGTTCAAACAGATCATGACATAATCCTTGTAAATATCTATGGTCTGAACATTTGTTTTTCAAATATTCTTTTTTTCTGCAATTTGAACTAATTCAGTAGAGTGATCCAGATATCAGGGCACTGTGATAGTCTGTTAGATATAACAGGTATACTGGATATGAACAGCTGGTGAAACACACACATTTAAAAGATGATTTATGATATCATGTTTTACCAAAGTCTATAAAAGAAAACTGTATATTTAAATAAATATTTTAATGGACTTAACATAAATATACTAAACCTCGTCTCAGTCTCTATTTTGAGCTAGTTGCAAGTAAACATGGTACTTGGTCTATGCCATTAAATAAAATGAATCACTGAGAATACAAACTGCTAGAACTCTATCTGTGCAGCTCATCACTGCAGCGGTTTCGATCTGAACAGTAACTTGACCACATGTCCCTTGGTCTGATGCCAGATTAAACCAATTTATGACATGTTTCCTATTATCTTCTTTGGAGGTTTGGGAGGAGGTTGGGTTCATACTGGAGGTACCTACACAAGAGTCATGACACACAAGTCACATAAGACATTTCATTGAAATATGACCATTTTGAATTTGTAGCAACATTAAATGAAGCCTAGTTGTTTCCAATTGAACTATATATGCTCTAAAATTGAAAACTGTTCAACACCATATTGAATTATGTGATCAAGATTTGTCTTCATCATATGATTTGCCATCATAAATCTATGATGTTGGTCCTGCTAGAGGTGATATTTTTACTTCATATTTTCATGGCACTTGTGTTTTAGCCAAAGCCATTAATCTGGTGAAATCAATTGTTTATTCTAAAACAGACAGTTCCAGTCCTAAAATCTAAATGGCTGAGCCGCGTTCGAAGCCGTTGTAAAATCCACAATATACCACGGCTGTGACCGCCTCACAACAACTGAACTCTATCACTGCGCCACGGCACGAAAAACCTTTCTGCTGTTAATGAAACAATCTTTGACTCTAATGCTGCTCGCACGGAGCACAGAGTGTACTGATAAGGTAAGAACCCAGTTCTGTTTTGTTCTGAGGGGCTGAAAACTTATTCACGTAACTAGAACTAGGCTGGTCAGCTAACCAACAGGCTAAAAGATAGCAAACATGCTAAACAACTCCATCATTAATATCACAGGCTTGAATTAAAGTACTCACAATATGATTTACTGAAAACGGCAATATAAAAGTCTAAAGAATGTCACCTGAATGGCTTACACTCTTCAAATGTCCGTGTTTCAGTCAGAAGTAGCATCAAACCCAGGCTGAATCCCAAACGGCTCCATACTCCCTAAATAGTGTGCTGTGTAACATTAAGATTAGAAATTAGCTCGCTTCTGCAGTCAAATAGTGCACTGCTTGTCAAGTATGAATGTGGATGAATCCTAAATCCATAAATTTTTAGCGATATTTTGCATTGTTGGGCTGCAGGAGTATTTAAATTCCTACGTAGCTAGAGCACTATGTAGGGAGCAGGAAGCTGTTTGAGATTCAGCCCCAGCGTGAGAAAAGTGACATCGTCAGACTGGCAGAAGACGACTCACGGTTGTAATGTGGTGACCGAAAAGTACTTATAAACTGAAAGTAACTGCACTGAACAGTGCTGTGTTATCATATGTTCACTGTTATAGAAAAATGCTTTAAAAATCATTAAATGTTTGCAGTTTACAGTGACTGGCAACCAAACGCTCTTCTCTTCATTCAGCGGTCAGTGGCTGCTTAGCAACGATACCATATTCTAAAGGAACTACATTTCTTTGGCGGAATACTTGTTTATGTCGATTATTATTAATAATAACTTACATAATTATCTAAAACATTGTGTATTTTAATATATTTTATATTGGCCGCCGATTTATAAAAGCAATAAGCCACTCGAGGCAGTGAGTTACTGCGATTTTATCACGGAGAAAGGGGCTTTAGGCACTCCGCTTCACATTGTGCCAAAGAACACCCTTCCCCATGATAAAATCACAGTAACCCACAGCCTCTCATGGCTTACTGCTTTAATATCATGCTGTTCAACGTGATTGCATCAAGTCCTGTTGCTGCTTTGATTGGCTGTTTCATGCCAATTTTTTTCACAGAGTTCAGGTGCTTAGAACTGTTTTGTCTGAATTTCAAGGGAGTTTCCAGACACTTTACATTATGCAACTTGTGTGCAATTCAGTTTCATGTAAGTTTCAAGCAACTAAACTTGCATGGGCATTTCGATGTGTAAAGCCAGTCTTAGACTTTGTGAATAACTGGAATGCTTTCTGGGCAAAACTAAGGCTTTTATCAAAGAGAAGGCCTACATGCAAGTCAGTACACTCTCGAGAAGGGTTTTTTGGGGTGATGCCTGAAATGAACCACTTTGGTTCCCTAAAGAGGTTTTCAATGAATAAGATGTGAGAGTTTGGAGAGACTTTTTTTAAACCATAACCATAAACCATAAATCCAAACTAATGCTCCATTTATATTGTGATGGTAGAAGGCTGATGGCGAACTGGACATTCTAGTGTTTTCAGTGAAGTAGTGGTCGAAAATTCTGCCACCCCTGGCAGCAAGGGCAGCATACCGCAGCGTTCAGTAGAGGATTCCATCAACAGCTAAATTTTCCTTTCTTTTGCTGTCAGCCAGGGCAATAAAATAAACCAGATGTTGATTATTTGGGGACCATGAATGCCAAACAACTAAGTGCTGAAAGTGTAGGCACATGCAGTATTATACAACAAAAAATAAAAGAGTATAGAACGTCCTCCTGCCTTTTTAACGCCATAAATAAAAAATCAACACTGCATAGTTTCCTCCATTTGACTATATTTTAAAGGTAGATGTATGGACTGCCTTACACTTCCCACAATCCTGTCAGCACTGTTGCAGTTCAGATAAAAAAATGGCAGAAGCCAGAAGCGCTGGCACAGAAACCAGTTTGCGCACAAATATGAGTTGTTTGTAATTATTTTAAATAAATATTTTATTTCTGGCAAGAATTAGTCAATGTACTTTTCATCTATTAAATAAAAGTTATTTGAAAAGTGCCTGTAGTTTGTTGTGTAAACATCTATTGACACTACACGCTATGTAGTGAATGTAATGCTTTTCAAACACCTCCTCTTTGTACTGAAGCTTGGTTGTTAATTGTAAATACAATTTATATATGATAAACATGCTTATGTAATTCTGGCGACAGACTCTTAAGCCAGCAGAAAACTGAAGAAAACAATGTTTCAAAGCAAAACAACATCTTTTTGGCTGAAATAATGTTGTGGTTTGAGTTTGTATGGTGTGAGCTTCACCTATTAAACAGTAATGAAATTTGATTTCATTCTTACATTATTTGAAGTACATTGCCAGCTTGAATTCTGGCCTCAAGATTCAGTGGCTTGGCAAATTTTAATATTTGTCTACTCCAGGTGTAAGGCATTATCATGTAATAAAAAATGTAATAAAATTAAAAATAACATGCTCGTTTGTTTTTACTGGTTACGTATATG